AGTTGCACTTTCTGGTACCATGGCCTTTGAGAAAGCAATAATAACATTTGAATTCTGATTTTCTAGGAGCTGGTGAAGATGACTGGGAAGGAGCTGGTCCTGAAGGATAAGTTGGGTTGATTTTTACAGAGTAGTAAGCTTCAAATTTCCTGGTAAGTTCTTCAAACTTTTGTTCTAATTCATTGGAGCAGGCTGGAGTAGATGGCTTGGGAGCTAGAGATGGATTCTTGATGGCAGAAGTTGAGTTGTCCAATTCCTTAGTGGGTTCCATGGGTTCCATTCTGTGAAGTTTTCTTCTTTCCATAACTGATGTTGACTGAACCTCCCTGTGTATGTAGGCCAAAATAATTTGAGTATCTGGAAGAATATCCCCACCATCCATGGAAGCAAGCATCTTGTTGTCCCTAATGAGTTCCCTAGTAACTGAGGCTTCCAAGTCAGGGTTGAGAGATTCCAGTAAGAGTTCCCTGAATTCCTCCAAGCTATTAGAGTATCCCATCCTGAAGAGATAAGTGGTAACTGATTCAAATCTGGTCCTGAAATTCTTGAATTCCTCCAGAGTCTTGATTCCTCCAGCTTGGATCGCAGTGTTGACCAATCTCTTCAAGTCCTGCCTAGAGTATTTGACCAAAGGAAGAGAGGATCCAAACCTGTTGAGTAGTTGTGCTTTCAAAAGTTCCCAGTCCAAGTCCTCATGGCCAGTCATTTCTTCCACTTCATCCTTGAGGTCATTTCCATGAATAAAAGATATAATCTGTCTGGCCAAATCTTGAGCAGAAGCATCATCAGCTAATCCAGCATTCTCATACCTTTTGATAAATTTTTCCACAGGCATGTTGGTTCCATCAAAGTAAAGATCCTTGTCCATGGGCTTGATTTTGACTGATCTGGTGCTGGTTCCTTTGTACTTGGGTAGAGCTGGCTCCTTGTCTAGAAAGTGAGTGTCTGGATTCCTGGTGAATGAAGGGGCTAATTGCTGATTGTTGTCAATATTGTTTGATCTGGCAGAACAATGAGAGATGGTCTGTCCAAGGTTGGAAGTTGAGGGTGGTAAATTGTTGTTGGTGGATTCCTGGCCAGGGTAAGTGTTGTTAAATCTAGTATCCTGAGACATGTCTTCTGGTTGATTGAGAAAGTTGTTGACTGATATATTATGGTTATTCAGGTGAAGTGGAATGGCAGCAGATGTAATATAAGGAAAAAGAGTGTAGGAATTGAAGAAATATTTCTGGGAAATGGAAAGGTAATAGATATGTAGTCTGATTCAAGTAAAAGGATGAAAATGAATTGGGAGGAAGTATGGTAAAGATGAGGATGAAATGATGTTTCTGAGTTGACTAATATTCTGTAGATATCTGGAGAATAATAAATCTGGAATAGAGAGGAAAGGATATGAGGGATAGCAAGGGAGAGGGAGGAAAGTAGGGGGAAAGGTATGTAGGTAGTGATACTAAAAAAGCTGATAGTATAGTGTTACTAGGACTAAAATCTAAAGGAGTCAGGCACTGTTGGACACCACTTGTGG